TGCATACTTATTCAAGAGCCCGAAATACTTTTTTCTGCATACCAGCCCTGGCGCGAGTAACATTGAAAATTACCTGCACCAGACAAATTTTACCTGCACCACTCAGAATTCAGGAACTATGGATCATACGAACTAAAAACTGTTCAGAATTACCAGAATTTCTTTTATACTGCATACATGTAGGTGGTAACAGTCAATGCAGCAATCCACATACACCTACATACATAAACCCAGAACCCAGCCTGCATATATATGACTCGTATGTCGTCCTGAATTTCTTACCAGCAGAAAACATGGTCCCCACTCCGTAATGGGGCTATCTGGGCGCCGGTGAGAAATAGTTTTGTTACAAGCTCAATTAGCCCCGAGTGTTTCTAATGGATCGGTCCATCGCCACTGGTCCGGGGTACTTCCACTCAGGAGGGATGGCTAGGGTCAGGGACAGGGCAGGGTAGTGGGAATACAGCTACTCACTCACTCACTCACTCACTCTCTCCCATAGCTTAGTCAGCCGTCGGGGCAGCATGATACAGCTACTATAGAGTACTTAAAAGTACCAAACTTTGGCTGAAACACTATATATTAGTTACACTTCTGTTAGTTCAGTAGGCAGGGTTGTCACCAGGATTTTTTTCACAGCGTAGGGGTCAGGTACAGAAGAACGATTTTCTGTGGCACAAGCCACAAAGACATGACCACAGTTGGGGTTCTGGTATTCTCCTCCCCAAAAAATTTATAAACTTATAACCCTATGACTAGTATGAGGCCCTATTTCCTGCTTATTGAGCAACAAATTTTGTAAAATTATGTCTTCCCTGTGTTATAGCTTCAAATAAGTCAAATTTTCATTTATTTTAAAGATCATAATAAGGTTTTTCCCCCAAAGAAACACCCCTATGCTGGTTGAAAGACAGCGTAGGGGGCTAAATCACAGTGTTGGAGGTCTAAATCTACATCAAACAGCCTACTGACAACTATGGTCAGTGAAGGACGGGAATGTCCTGTGTGATTCCTGACAGTTATCTTGTGTGCGTCAGAGAACTGTTCCACTCAGAGTCTGAATGACGCACTCTCTACAAGTACACTTACAAGTTTCCTTTATATAGTAATGACTCTGTCACTACAGATGCAGTACTGCACTTGTCTTCAGACTCTTCACTCTCAGTCAGGCCTCAAGAAAAAATAATGTGTTTCCTGTTTCAGTCCTGAAAAATATTAGATAGACTAATCCATCCATTGATTGATTAATTGATTGACTGACTGATTAATTGATTGATCCATTAATGGATTGATAATAAATTGAAATAACTAAGGATGAATGTAGCAGTCAAGCAATGACACCCCTCAGGTTGGCACGCCTTTCAATAAAAAGTCAGTTGGAGTAGAATATTCCATGTTGGGTGAAAGTGGTAGTGTATGACTGATGCCTACAGGTGTGTTTATAAATGAGGAGGAAACCAGACTGAAGCCATCCACACAAGCCCAGTGTGTCTGCAGAATAACGTCATGACATCAGCATTTATGGCTATCTCCAGGGTAGCAGTCGGCAGAACGTACTGAAACCCACTATGATAATGTCTTGTACATAGCATCTGTTTAAAGGCTGTGACAGCATATCTAAGGATGACATCCTGTCTATAGTTTTCAAGTATCCTCAGTCGGAAGTTATCGTTTGCAATGGACAAAATGATGATGCAACGTTGACCAAACACAAAAAAAAAATATGTGAAAAATCCAGGTTTTGCTCTCCAGGGTAAGGCTGCCATCTAGTTCATCCTCTTATCACAGTCAACACAACAGCAGCTGTACTGAAGGTGAAACACACAGGTCGGAAAGTGAGTCTCCCGGAGCCTTTGAAGTAGCCAGTGATGGCCAGCCGGCATTACCGCCCCCCCATTCTGTGTTATTGGGCTCCTGGAGCCTTTGATTTGAAGCAGCACCCGTTTTTCTGTCAAACACAAGAACTTTGTTGCGTGTGACGGAAATTTTCTTCAACCAATTTGTCAACCTTTAGTGACAAAAATCTTGGGTAAAAATATAAAAACATCCAAGAGACCACTGTCATTAATGTTGGATATTAATGCATTTTTAAAGGCTTGAAAATCCAGAATCAAGCTGGCTGGAGCCCTGCTTTGAAGTTTTCAGTGATGGCCAGGTGACATTACCGCCCCCCATTCTGTGTTATTATGCTCCAGCGAGGATTTGTCCTCCAGGTTGGCTGTTCTACTGATGAGCTGGCGATGATGCCCCCGATGAACTCTGGGCGGGCCACAACAAGTTTGTTTGGTGGTTTGTTCATCTAAGGTTGACATGCCATTAACAGTTTACAAATGGTTGTGTTGTAAAATGTATAATCTGCAAGGGGCAAAATTCTGATGCAACGTTGAACAAATATCCAACAACAACACAAAGCAGTATGTTCTGCACTATGATGTGCTCTTGGGGGTAAGGTAATGAACTCTGGTCTGGCCACAGCAAGTTAGCTTGGTGGTTCTCAGACATTTCAAACAAGGGGACAAGATATTAAAAATAGAGGGATGGGAAGAAAACCAAGATAGAAGATACAGATTGCACCAGGTGGGAGTAATATACATGTGTACAACTTTTTTTAGTTACACCATACAATCTCCTCCAGGACAGTCTTGAAAATTTCAAAATATTTACCATAAGTCTAAAATATTCAATTTTTGTTTTGAATCTCTCTTCCTGAATTCTGGTCATAGCTACGACTGCTGGGAGTGTTGGACGGAGTAGAGGTTTGCTCCCCTTACTCCGGAGTCTAATGATCCGGACCCCTTCTCCCCATCTGAGCACCACTCAACACACACATCACACACAGAAATCAATGGCCAGGCCTCCCCTGGTCCTGCCTTCAGAGCCGGGATAACCATTATGTGCTTCAGGCCGGTTTAAGGCAGCGTTTCAGCTGCTTTGCCGGATTACAGCAGAGCAGATTCCTGGGACATCCCAGAATCCCTGAGGACGGCTTCAGAATCGGTATCCTAACTACGTTAGCGGATCGGAAACCTAACTCTCCATCAGGCAATACGTCAATTATCTGTTCTTACTGATCACCTACATGCACAAAGAAGCAAAAACAAGACAAACCTCAACTTTGTATTGTTTCACAAATAATATTTAAAAATGTATGTTATTAATATTCACCTGAATATTATTCACCTGAATATTCACCTGAATCCAGGCCATTAGGTACCCTTACTGGGTAATGAGGCCGTCTTCGTGGTGTAGACAGTTTGGGCATTCAGTAGGAGAAGACGTATCCGAATCTATCAGGGTGATCCTTCCACTCTATAGCCAACTTGGTCTTGAATACATTTACTGAGCTGCTGTTTACTGTGGCTGATGACAGTTTATTCCAAATTGGGGTTGTTCTTGCAGGGAAGAAGTTAGACCTGGGTCCATTTGATTTTTGGATTAATAAGTTACATAGTCATTTTTGTATGCATGTATTGTTACTACAGGACTGTATTAAGATCTAGACATTGGGATATCGAGTTACAATGAAAACTCTTCATTCATTCATAATACATTCATTCATACATTCATATCCTAATATTCCTATATGGTAGTGTACAATCCATTCCAGGCCAGATGACCCATAATATATACAATCCTTCCTATGTGGAAATCTGCCAATACCAATGGAGCCCTTTAAATTCTTGACCTTAGGCCACACCAATTTAATTTCTTGGTTAACGGATTTTTCTAGAAAAATAATGGAGCGGGCGGGCGAAAAAAAATAAAAACAGGCCTAGGCATCCTATCATGGCCCAAAATGGTACGATAGGAGCCATGAAGTCAACACACCAAGCTGGTTCAAAATTTAAACAATAAATTTTAAAATTTTAATGATACCATTGCATTGAAAGATGGAATAACTGTAACAACTAGGATGAAAAGGACTGTTTTCAACTGTTCAGGGCAAAATATTTTGCAGTTGATTCTGAATTTTTATTTTTATTTGCAAATCAGAAAAAAATGAAGCGGGCGAATCCGTTAACCAAGAAATTAAATTGGTGTGGCCTTAACCTTCTCCCTGCTGCCTAACCCCAGAACCAACACAGATGTGGTGCCAAACGGCTACCTTAGCAGGCTGAGGGTTAAAGTGGCAGCTGTGGTTGCCAGAGTCAACAGCTGTGTAACAAATTCACTTCCTGTTATACATACTTCCCCTGCCGTCCGTGTTTGTGTTGGTAGGAACTCTACTGCAGGGTGACAACCAAAACAAACTGTCTGACACTAACAGTGCGCTAAACAGGGTGTCATAATCTCAACAATAAGCGGTGAGAATACAGTTTTTCACACCTTGTTGCTGAAAGTGATCGGTCTAGTTTTTTTCCCGATCACTGCCTTTCCCCCAGGGCGAGATTATGCGCATGCAAAACAGGACAATCACACAACAAAAGACCCTGACACGTACACAGAGTAACAGGTAGCCGTGAAGGTGTGAAAATATCTCAAGACAATTGAAGAACGAAAACACAACATACCCGCACGTGTGCGTAAGTGTTTTGTTGATATACAGTAGAACGCACGCCCCCCTAACCGAAGCGAAAGTTTGTAAACATTATGGTAATTGACAGTCTGTCAGCGTAACATCGTTCTATATCCCCCCATCACAGTTTCACCCTGTGTCGTCCGAAAAAAAATCAAAGGCCGCCGCCTGGCTGCCCGAAGCGGGCGGGAAGATTGGAGAGATCTCTGGGATTAAATGATGGAATGGGTGTACGTGAACGCCATGCGGGCAGGCGGTAATGGGGCGAGAGGAATCTGGAGTCGGGAATTATTCAGTACGCTTCCCGATGCCTCCCCTGCCAATTTAGACCCAGACATCGCGGCTACACCGGTATCAGCTGCCCGATTTCCGCCGTTTGACAGACATTAGAGGCTACAGACGGAAAGGGATGCCCCTCCCCACTTACATATTCACACGGGAGAACGATTTGAGGGAAAAAGAGGCGAAATCGGGAAATTTTTACCTGCAAATTCGCGGCTCCGCTTCCGCAGGCATCGGAGTTCCGTCCTGCTGACCCCGCATCGTTCCGCGCAGGGGTCAGCGCGCAGGAATGACGTCAAGATTTTACACATTTTTCTCACATTCTAAAAATACTCACCAAAAATATGACATTTTACTCGTTAAAATCTATAGTCTATCTCCGTTTGATATCATTGTCAAGTTTTAATCTATAAAAGTGTAAAAACTGCGTTGATTTCATGAAGGTCACCTGAGGTCATGCGGAAGCGGCAGATTCAAAACTGTCATGGCGGCCGCTGGTTCAACTTTTAATTCCGTGGGTACATTTTCAGCATTTGCCTCACTTGGTTATAAGAACGATTTAATATAGACCTATGGTAGATTGTTAAGATCATTGCGGTTGAATTCCTGATGCATATGTAGTCGTTTTTATAATAATAAGGACCACTTGTGAATATATTGCCCCGGAATATAGGGATTTGACACAAAGGGCTAAGCTGATAAATGTTTGAACAGAGAATAACGGTATTTCTACTTATCTTCATTTCCCTCCAAAGAATCAAATCACAAAAAGCTATCTTACAGAATGTCTTGATGTCTTGATAGCTGTTTAGAGGAGCGTGTGTAGACTCCAGAATCTTGTAGTACAAGTAATACATTTGTGAATCATGGTAGATTAGCCACAGTAGTGGCAATACTTTACAAATTGATACATCAGCAAATTACTGCAAACATGGTTAGCCAGTCATATTTGTTGTACCTGGTATACATGTAGATATATTGTTATAAGACTGTTTAAGCAAGTCCGGCAACAGTTCACCATGGCTAATAGCAGAACTAGTAATTTAGTATGTCTGAGCTCTCTGCAACACTATATGTAGTACTACCAGTACCATTACTAGTACAAATGTATATCTATATGAACCCCACAGGATGAGCTCCAGGACCAGCAGTAAGCCCGGACATGGCGAAGCCTGGTGATGATGATGATGTCATGTCCTCCCTGCTGGCCCGGGTCAGTAAGAAGCTCGGCTGGGACAAGTTCAACTCCTTACAAGACGCCCTGCAGGAGGTAAGGAAGGAACTAAGGAGCTCACAAGGAGCTCACAAGGTTGTATTGTCTTAAACATTTGTGGATGTGACTGAAAATGTTACTCAATTTTGCTAATTATTCTCCTTGTTCTGTGTTTTGTTTATTTGTGTTACTGTATGTATGTCTGTATGTACAGTGTCTATGGACTGGTTCAGCGTACCTGAAAGAAATTATTCTGTTTTCCAGGCAATATATTAAAGGGTCAAGCAGATTTTTTGTTCTTCATGCCTTTCTGGTGTAGATTTATCTTTGTATACTGTGCTTTTTTTTAATGTTTTTTTCCTTTTTCTACATTTATGTACTGTTTCTCAGTATCCCAACTGTTTCACAGGTAGAGGCCAAGACTCCTGACTGGAAGGGTGGCAAGAAGCAGAATTTCTTTAATTCACAAGACGACAAAGAAAACACCTCAGCCAACGTCCCTCCAAACAAGACCAGGTCCTACAGCGAGGGGTTTATTTTACAGCACGGCTCCCGTAAAAATGATTTCTCCAAAACAACCCCCTCTTCTAACAATCGCCATAGCGATAAAACAGGTTTGCTGAAACCAAAAGGCTCGCTTGAATCCCCGTATTTTAGCACCACAGGAACTTCCAAAGTACAAGCTACAAGAAAGACAGGGATGCCTTTGGGAGACAAACTCTGTCTCTCCAACAGTCCTTCCAACTCCTCATCACAGAAAGAACGTTTTATGAAAAAAAGTTCAGATTCAGAAACAGAAGATCCTGTCCCAGCTGTGAAACCAAAGGTTCAGAGTGTGAAGATGACAAGCAGAGCAGAAGGGAAGACGAGAGTCAGTACAGGAGAAGGGAAATCTCAGGGACGTGGAAGTTCGAACCAACTCGGCGGAAAACAAGAAATGGGAAGTCTCATCTTCTCCAGTGGAAGTGAGGCCGACACAGGCAGTTCCAGGTAAGAGTTAGCCTGGGTGCCATCCTCCATAGTTCCTGCAGACTCCATAATGTCACTGGCTGACCACATCAGGGAGTTAGCGGAAACTACAGAGGATGGCACCCAGGCTAGGTAAGTGTTAGCCTGGGTGCCAATATTACTTTGTAGTTCCTGCCGGATCTATAATGTCGCTGGCTACCACATCAGGGAGCCTGGGAAAACTACAGAGGATGGCACCCAGGCTAGGTGAGAGTTAGCTTGGGTGCCATCCTGCATAGTTCCCGCCGACTCCCTGATGTCACTGGCTACCACATCAGGGAGTCAGCGGAAACTATGGAGGAATATTGGCACCCAGGCCAGGTAAGAGTTGCAGGGATGACAACATCTCGGTGACGCAGGATCTCTACAGGACTGGCAAAGTTCCCAGATGTGTTTCAGCAATGATAACCTTTACATTCAGCTGTGTCATGATGTAGGGACATCTACAAAATACTTATCACTTTAATAGTTTGGCATGTGTGCATGACTGTAGATAGGTTTTTTAAATTAATTTTTGAGCTAGACACTGCTACATGTATAGGAGCAATAAATCAACTTTGTTGATACGTATACAACCAACTTGAAGGAGCTTCTTTTTGAACCTCCTTGATACAACATATGGTGTTGGCTAAAATCTAAGATTCTATAAAGAAAATGCCTTTTTTGGGAATAAAGATATGCTAATAATTTTCTCAAGGGTGGGCCATTGCCAGAGACAGCAAAAAAAAAAATTCAAGTTCTATTTGTAGAATTCTGCTTATCCAAGATTTGCTGTTGCTCTTTACTGTTGCTCCTACATAAAGGATGTGCTGAATATGTGGTAATAATAATATGGCTTGTAGAATTCAGGCCATGTCTTCAGACCTGCCCAACAAGTTGTGTCGGAGTCATTTCTATGCAGCACGACATTCCCTGCAGGCTGGAGTCAGAGTGAACGGTTTGTATCCTGCAGTCACGGAGTCATAACGACGGTGGGTGGGAGAGAGAGTCAGAGATAGGGTCCAAACTGGGAGAAATTAAACTCTGCTGGAAGATTTCCCTGCAAAAGAACGATCACTTCCACATCAGCCATGTCCCCAGGCTCTGATGCAGGGTGCTGTAGAAAAGTCAGGGCTCGAAATTTAATTGTTTAAGAATAGGTGCACTGGTGCACCCTACCTAAAAAATTGGGTGCACAAAATTGTTTTGGAGTGCACCATATAGAATAAAATGGGTAGAATGTCAGCAAAAACTTATGAATATGATTCATTTGTAAAGAAAAGTACTACAACAATGATTTTATCATTTTTCTGAAACTTATATGTTAAGAATATGCTGTATACTTCTATACATTTAACATCTTTACATATATAAACCTATAAAAATATTTGGGTGCACCAGTGCATCCACAGAAAAAAATGAGCGCACAGCTCAAAATTTGGGTGCACTAAGGTGCACATGCAGCCAGTATTTCCAGCCCTGTGTTGAAAAGCTCATGCAGTATTCATGCCAGGGTTCAGCCCAGAGACATTCTGGTCGCGCAGTGATTGGTCCACAGCCAGTTCCAGCCTGTTGGGAAGCTGTGGGGGGAATCTGAATCAGACGAACATGACACAGAGCTTAGCGAGCGTGTACACTGGTGTTGATTGGAGAGGGTGTGTTTTTGTTTTTGCTCTGTTTATTCTAATATAATTGTATCCAAACAAATATTAGTAAGGTTAATGACCTAGACCAGATGGATGTCACCAATGGTAACTGGTGCTGTAGCAGACACCCTGTGGTGTTGGATTACATTATGTAGCAAGTGGCAGAGTTGGAGTTGGGCTGGTCACCATATAGAATGTGTTCAAGAAAAACTATAGTCTGTTAGGGTAGACTGGACAGAATTCAATCTAAATGCATAACAAATTCAGCTCTAAAACTTTGCTTTTCCCATTTTTCCTAATACAATATCGTATATTCATCTGGCTGGCTGACAAAGTAGGGACAATACATTGCCAGGGGAGTTTGGCCGCCTTTGTGTTTCATTTGCCCACGCAGTGAAATTGTCACCGGTATATATACCCTTCCCACTGGTAAACTGTCCTGGCAAATATTATTCACAATACCGGTATTCCTGCAGAATGCTATTCTTGTGATCTATTATCCCTTAGGAAGGCCTGGTGGAGGCTAATATAAATCATGTAACCGTTACATCCATATTTACCCCTAGAAGGCCTGGTGGAGGCTAGTACTAGTATTAGTCATGCACACCCATAACCCCTTAGGAAGGCCTGGTGGAGGCTAGCATTAGTCATGTACACCCATAACCCCTTAGGAAGGCCTGGTGGAGGCTAGCATTAGTCATGTACATCCATAACCCCTTAGGAAGGCCTGGTGGAGGCTAGTATTAGTCATGTACACCCATAACCGCTTAGGAAGGCCTGGTAGAGGCTATCATTAGTCATGTACATCCATAACCCCTTAGGAAGGCCTGTTGGAGGCTAGCATTAGTCATGTACATCCATAACCCCTTAGGAAGGCCTGGTGGAGGCTAGTATTAGTCATGTACACCCATAACCCCTTAGGAAGGCCTGTTGGAGGCTAGCATAAGTCATGTACATCCATAACCCCTTAGGAAGGCCTGTTGGAGGCTAGCATTAGTCATGCACACCCATAACCCCTTAGGAAGGCCTGGTGGAGGCTAGCATTAGTCATGTACATCCATAACCCCTTAGGAAGGCCTGTTGGAGGCTAGCATTAGTCATGTACACCCATAACCCCTTAGGAAGGCCTGATGGAGGCTAGCATTAGTCATGTACAGTGTACATCCATAACCCCTTAGAAAGGCCTGTTGGAGGCTAGTATTACTCATGCAAAGACCTTTAAAGACCTTTCCCCATATCTGCATAACCCACCGGAGGTACCAGTACATAAACATGCGGGGAAATCCTCTTGATCCTGATAAATATCGGAGCTGCTGCATGACCTTGCCGGGATAAGAAGGTTAACTGTTGTCGTCCTTAACCCTGGTTAAACCGTGGATGTTACGATCGCCTTTATTACCGAGTCGTTGATCACAGTAATCTCAGGAGTG